ACAATTGCAATTGCACTTGCACTACTGGGTATTTACCCCGAAGATACAAATGTAGTGATCCGAAGGGGTATGTGCACCCCAATGTTTATAGCAACAATGTCCACAACAGCCAAACTATGGAAAGAACCAAGATGTCCATCGACAGATGAATGGATAAGGAAGATGTGGTATATATACACAATGGAATATTATGCAGCCATCAAAAGGAATGAAATCTTGCCATTTGCAACGACATGGATGGAACTGGAGGGTATTATGCTGAACGAAATAAGTCAACTAGAGAAAGACATGTATCATATGATCTCATGATATGAGGAATTGTTAATCTCAGAAAACAAACTGAGGGTTGCTGGAGTGGTGGGAGGTGGGAGGGATGGGGTGGCTGGGTGATAGACATTGGGGAGGGTATGTGCTATGGTGAGCGCTGTGAATTGTGTCTGACTGTTGAATAACAGACCTGTACCTCTGAAACAAATAATACATTATATGTTTAAAAAAAAAAAAAAAAGAAGAAGATAGTACGAAGGGAAAAATGAAGGAGGCGGAATTGGAGGGAGAGACGAGACGACCCATGAGAGACTATGGACTCTGAGAAACAAACTGAGGGTTCTAGAGGGGAGGGGGGTGGGGGGATGGGTTAGCCTGGTGATGGGTGTTAAGAGGGCACGTACTGCATGGAGCACTGGGTGTTATACGCAAACAATGAATCACGGAACACTACATCAACAACTAATGATGTAATGTATGGTGATTAACAAAACATAAAATTTAAAAAAACAACAAAAAAAGCACTAACAATCCCTTTGCCTCCAAATAAAACTCCAGGAACATAAAGAACAGGTGAGGAGGTGGGTGGAAGGAGACCAGGAAAGAAGCGTGGAGAATCCAGTACCTGCTAACTTGGGTAATTTTTTATTACTCTCTGATGCTCACATGACCAAAAGTGAAGTGAACAGCAGTAGGCAATCAAAAGGGCAAACTCTTCTCATTCTTAAGACAAAAAACCAGTCTTTTACCACTTCACCTGGCTTGATTCTAACTGATGTACCTACAACCAGCCTCTCTTCTATGATCTAGCCTCTATACTGGTCTTTCTAAAAAATACTTCATTCATCCGTCTGTCCGTTTGTCATCCATCCATCCATCCATCCTTCCTTCTATCCTTTTCTGGAAGCCCTTTAACACCACAAAACCCCTTTAGTTAAAATTCGTTTTTCTGGTGGCTTTTTTTTGTTTGTTTATATATATATTATATATATATAATACAGTATGTATACATATGCATAGCTATAAAATGCTTCTTATATATGTTATAAAATATATCTATATATTTTATAGCTATATATTATATTGCTATGAACAACTTAACATACCTCAGTACGAACAACTGCTCAATTTGTCATCATATCCTAGTCTCCACTGTAGTACTAATTATGGTAGTTCTTTTTTTTAAATTAATTTTTTTGATGTAATGTTCCATGATTCATTGTTTGCGTATAACACCCAGTGCTCCATTCAGTACATGCCCTCTTTAGTACCCATCACCAGGTTAACCCA